CCCCAAAACCCCAAAACCCCAAAACCCCATAATTATAATTTTTAATAAAATCAAAGGAAGTTAGTTTTTTTAATAAATTAAAGAAATACTCTTAATACTCTTCTCAAATAGCTTATCTTCAATTTAATACTTGCGAAGTTCACATTTGATTACGAATTTTAGCTGCCTCAACAATAGAATTAAAAGTGTAATTGCCTCCTTTCCATTTATACATATAGTCTGGGAACTTAATATCACAAGGACCCTCGAGTAATTAACAAGATGATACAAATAACTTTGCAGTATATGAATCACTCTCATCCAATATTGCTCTTTCCCATTCTACTTTTAGAGTGCCAGTAATATTTTATCCTCTCAATTACTAAAGATTCATTAGCAATTTGATTGCTCTTTGAATTTTATCTCCTTATTGATACTATTCTTTGATATATTTTCCCAAGTATTGCGAGACATTGTATGCAGGTAAATTTTCATCACTTACTGGGATATTATTCTTTCTAGCCATACAGAGTACATTCATCATTGAAACTCTGTTTCCAGTAAAGGCATCGATAAATTAAAGCTCATAAGTCTTTTTTTCATAATAATAGGCATGCTTAAATACACCTCCGATTTCATGGCCATTGATATTTTTGTATCCAAATAATACCTCAATTCTATAGCCTAAAGCTTATGGAATAAGCTGTTTGAGAACTTCTATATATTGATCAGTCTTTCTATCTATATCTCTTTGTTCATAGCTTCCATCTTTACATATTCTAATCAATCTCTAGAGAAGTCCAAGATGAATTGTTGCAACAGTTGCAGCAAGTTAAAGTTTTAACATTTTGTGAGGATACAGATCAGATGAAAATTTAGGCCATAGCAAGTTTAATTAAGAATCAAGATTGAAAGCTTTTTCTTTCCATACTTATGTTGTTTCTCTCTTCTCACTCATAAATTCTAATTCAGCCTTAATTCCTTCAATATCTGTTTAAAATAGCTAATTTGTTTTGTACAAATCATATTTCCAGAATTCCTATTTAATCATTGATTTCATCTCCTCCTATTACTTTTTCTTTTGTTCAGCAGCTTCTGCAGCACTGTTTGAGCCAGTCAACATATTTAGAACTTTAAACGCTACTTTTGCAAATGGAAATACTCCCTCAATAGTCTCTTGAATTGTTCTCATAATTTCATTACCAACCTCATCGCTAATTTATTAAGTAATGAGTTCCCCTATATTTTGTTGTTCATCAATAATAATTTCATCCGATTTAGATAAAAGAAATGCAGCTTCTCCAAGCTAAATGCTGTCCATTGGATATTTCTAAAGTGAAACATTTTCAATTGAAACAACTTCACTACTTTGTACTCTATCTTCATATAACTTGCTATAATGCAATATACAAGTATGACAGAGATCAAAATCACAAAATAACTCTGAGCAACTCCATTTTTTATTGTCGTCTCCATTAGATTAGCAACCACCATTAAATCTTCCATTACAGATCCAAAAAGACATTTTTCCTTTGTATTTTAAGGCATGCGAATGAAATTGAACTCTTAATCTTTAAGCACTATCTACCATTATTAAAATTCTGTTTTACCACACAGAACATCATCTTCTTATAAACTCAAGGCCTGTTAATTATTTATGGGACAGTATTAAAGATATATTGATAAATAATCAATGAGCTCAAAATCTCTAACAAATAATCCTTACTAAATTGAGATATTAAATAAAATTTGTAGCAACAAAACTTAAGACAAATACATATCACCTAAAGTTATAATTCATTAAATTTAATATTATTTCTTTAAAATCCTGGACTAAAATCTATAAGGGGGTTTTGGGGTTTTGGGGTTTTGGGG